TGTAGCATTGCAGGTCCCATACCAATCGTAGATGGATAAGGATAGCAAGCTACTAAATGGGATACATGAAGGTCGTCTTACTTACAGTCAAGAGAGATTCGGTGGAAAAAGACTATCGTTGTCGGGTCGTCGACAACACTTGTATTTATACACATACATCTAAACTACGCTAAAGCTATATCGTATCTAAGACATGAGCTCGTCTATAATCGTAATGTCGTAATCTCAGTGAAACTAGCGTATCTTGTAGCTGTGAATGCTACAGGTATGCACCTTTTCAGGTGCAGATGAGCCAGCGGTGGTTTGAGAAACAGAGGTTTCACCTGAACCAGATTGTCTTGATCCTTCAGGGGCAGGAGCAGAGTTGTTGTTGCCTTGGTTGTTGCCATGGTTGTCAGAGTCGACGTTCATGGGCTCAGCGCCATCACGAGCCATAGCAGCACCAAAGGGAAGAGGTTGATCGTTGTTGTAGTTGTTGGACATGATGAATGAAGTACGAATTCACTGAAAAAAATGTTGTATCAAGCAAGGAATAAAGGTAGACAATAAGTCAGTGATACGAAGATAATGATTGTATTTAAGATATGCTCGATACATGCGTATTTATATTCTATGGAGTGAAACTAGCTGAGATGAGACGACGGTAGACGCACCATTCATGGTGCGGTATTAGATCTGTTAGGCTGTAGGTAATAATGCTAGAGGTTCAGGATGTGTGTGAGGTATCGGTGTTCCTGATGCCAAGTGGCAACCGATGAATGTGAGATATCATTTGTTCAAGTCTAAGACACACATGTTGGATCTTTATTGGGTATGATGGATAGCCTGAATACAACAGGCTTGTCTCTTACTACAATCCATTTCACCAGTGCTTGTCGAAATGATTCTGCTGTATAATAGCTAAAGCGATTCCCTCTGTGATATGTAATAAGGTATTTGTAAGCAATATGGTATATCAACAACTCGGATTTGTGAAGTACTTACTTCCAGCTATCACTATTGCTTGCAAGTGCTGTTTGCCACTCTCGAATATGTGCCTTCAACATATGACTTTTAGCTAACTTCGTACTTCCAGAAGCGCAATTCACAATGACTTTATCCACGGTTTCTCCTCGCGCACTATAAAAATCAAGAGAGGATTTGGTGTAAGTAACTATGAATTAAGCTAGCGAACTCGCTATGATGACTTATGAATAAGACTTACTTAACAACTTTGCCACACAGGTTGCATGCAGCCTTCTTCTCATGTGTTTTCCAGTCTACCCGGGAAAAAAATCGCCACACCAGGCTAGGCATACGCTCGGTAGAGCTTTGTCTGCTTAATAGACTAGCTCCTGAAACTGACATCAGGTTCCCTTGGCTTCCTGAAATTGACATCGTATTCCCTTGGCTGCTAGCGCCATCCATATCATCATCTTCGTCCTCAATGACATTGTGGGGTCTTCGTCTAGGTAGCCTTGGCGTATGGATATCCATTACAGTGACCCACAAAATTGTTCAAATGTTTTGTACTTTTGCATAAATCGTTTCCTGGGGCATTGCCATGCATATAGAACATAGTCATATTATACATCATCTGATAGCGTATCTAATTGGGTACACAATGCCATTCACGTGATCTGTGCAACTTCGAAATTCATGCAGTTAGCGGGGAATCAATAGAGTCGATACACTTGAACAATTTTGAGGGTACTTCACCACTATTACATAAATGAACATCTACAACATGTGGAGCCTTTATTCTTTATAATGTTATAGATAAGCCACTAATAAAAGTTTTTACTGCCTTTAGCATGCTGTAGGCCCTTTTCCCTTCGACTTCACTTATAAGTAACTTTCATTATGCGTCCAATCAGTAACCAGAAGAAAGAGGATGTGAAACATCTCCTACAACAAGGTACACCATACCGCCAAATCTCTACACTCACTGGTGTCTCCCTTGGAGCTATTCGAACTATTCGAAAGGACCTCAATGTCGACATTGAACCTAATGGAGCTGGTCGAAAGCGCATAATGTCAAGCAATGACATTCGTGTTGTCATTCGGAAACTCGTAACTGGAGAATACAAGAGTGTTGAAGACGCAAGCCGTCAGCTCCGACCTACCTACCCCAACAAGGTGACCCCAAGTGCTGAAACGATTCCTCGTGAAATGAAGCGTCTCAATTACACCGCAATTAAGAAGCCCAATGTGTTGCCATTGACCCGATCGCGTCGCAATGCACGATTCCGGTTCGCGCAATCATATCGTTCTTGGACTGTAGAGGACTGGAAATGTGTTGTTTTCAGTGACGAGACAAAAGTGAACCGTTTGGGAAGTGATGGCCTTCATTGGACTTGGATTGATCCTGATGGCAAATTACGTGAACGCAATGTTATCCATACATATAAGCATGGTGGCGGAAGCATCATGATCTGGGGCTGTTTCTGTTGGTCAGGACCCGGGTTTATCACCAAAATTCAAGGAACTATGAATGCCGACCTCTATTGCAGCATTTTGGATGATGAATTCAAGCAGTCATTGGAATATTACGGCCTTGAAGTGAATGACATCATCTTTCAGCAAGATAATGATCCTAAGCACAAGTCCCGGAAAGCTACCCAATGGTTCCAGGATAATGGTGTTGAGGTCCTACCATGGCTATCGTACTCTCCAGACCTCAATCCTATCGAACATATGTGGGCAGAGCTCAAACGCAAGTTGCTTCTCTATGATGAGCCCGCTAAGTCAATGACCGAGTTCTGGGAAAGGGTTTCCTATACCTGGAACAAATGTATGACGAAGGAATACTGTGAGAGACTCATAGAAAGCAAGCCACGACGTATAGAAGCTTGTTATAAAGCAAGAGGAGGCTATACTAAGCATTAATAAAACATGTTCTAGTTCCCCTCAAAATTGTTCCAGTGTATCGACTCTATTGATTCCCCTCTCACTGCATGAATTGCAACGTTTCACAGATCACGTGAATTGGATTGTGTGCCCAATTAGATACGCTATTGAATGATGTACAATATGGCTATGTTCTATATGCATGGCAATGCCCCAGGAAACGATTTATGCAAAAGTACAAACCATTTGAACAATTTTGTGGGTCACCGTAGAATGTCGCAAGTATTGGTGAAGAATGAAACAATGACTGCCTTAGAAAAATTTTTCGCTTTTCAACAACACGAGTCTTTAATCTCAGCTGACCACATCTGACATACTGTATATTGTAAACCCAGATCTATCTTAATTAATAATATCGTTACTCGTTTCTATGTATACACAAATTTTCCGCAGTTAACCTACTTTGATTGGCCTTACAGACTTTCCACATGCTCCGAAATGGCGTAGCTTCATATCTGACAATATGCTACAAGGCATCATCTCACCTATCGAAGAGTTTGAGCTTTGAGATTTGTCATCAAGATTAAGAGTGAGATGGGACGTCATGTGAGCGAGTTAGATGACATGATACAAGACTGAGATGGAGCGAATTACATTGATACCGAGATAAGGGCATAATCTCATAATTACCAAGCCCTATATATTACAGGATATGGATGATAAATACAGAGCAGACAAAGGATAATAGACATGAGGCATTAGCGCATTACTTACTATGTCTATATCTCATTTTTAGAATCAGGACTACTACATCCCTTCATCATTTTAACACTTGATCCTGATATCCCTCAGTTTCAGCTTATACATATGCGCGACAGTAATAGGTCCAAATCCGACCAGTGATAGATAATGGCGACATGGTTAATGCGAAGTGCCAACCTATCGAATAGTCTTTATGAAAGGTAATTTACTTATAGGATAGACGAGAGAGACAATCACATAGGAGATGTAATTAAAGCAGACAACAGAAAAAGTATAAGAGCTTGAATGGGTAGTCTAAATTGGGATGTAATCGAAATAGTAAAGGTGTGGGGTCTGGGATGTCATACTATGGAGCATGGACATAGATCATTGGATACCCATACCCCCAAAGTAAAGATTCACTCTGTGCTTGTAAGCTTCAAATATAGAATGCCATTGGGTTCCTATGCATATGTTTTTCTTTCTTGCAACGTCAGCTGTGACTTCAGTCACCATCGTAGGCACCATTTCCCAGAAAACAACACCTTCCTAATATTGATGATGATATATTGTCCATTGACGACACCAATAAATGAGTGGTAATAAATTCGGCCTAAAGGCAATAGCGATCACTGTACCTTCTCTGTAAACTTTTTGCATGAAATCGTCGGGAAGAAAAGAACAAGCTCACGCCATTGGAATGCATTTTCAAGGATAGAAAGACGCCTACCAACCTTCATTGCTGTGCGCATCTTGCTATATATATGGTCCTCCTTTTCGACTATAATAAAAATTGACATAGCCATTAGCTATTCATAATATCATCTTCCTACGATAGCGCAGTAAGTCTAATAAAGACTATACTGCAACTAGGGAATACATACTTAAACCGTATTGATTACAGTACTCCCTTGCACAATCCTTGATTGAAATCCTCTGTTCTTCTGCACCATTGCGGACTTCCTTCATCTTCATATAAAACTGGAATGCAGCAATGTTTGCTTGGACCATGCCCTTGTATACCATATGATTCCCATGCTCGAACATTGCAAAGTGATAGTTTAACTCCAATTGGGCTCTTTTACTATGGCATATGTCTCCTAGTGATGGCTCTTGTAATGGTGTCGTTTTTGTGAGGACGCGATCGACATGTTGCATGATATCATCATTATGCATGTTCAAAACCTTTGCCACAGCTTGTTGTATATAAGATATCGGTCATGATACAATCATAAATACAGAGCATGCACCTATATAGAATCATCATGGTTACCTATAAGATTGATCACCGTAATGGGATCAATCCATCTAACTCAGCCACAACGCCATTGGAGGAAAATCTTATATGAGTCAGCAGCAATAGTAAATAAAGGCACAGCTAGACACGTAGGCAGGTTCTCTCTTGGACGAAGAGTATACTGCATTCTCACAGACTCGTTCTTGTTATCAGTATTTCCCTTTTATTACTATCCCATACACCACATTTTTTCTGTGAACTCTGCAATCTACCTCCTACAATGTCACTCAACCCCATTACCAAAACCAACAACAACAATCAGAAGTCCAAGTCTAAGGGCAAAGCAGTGGACAAAGGTCCCGCCCAGAGAGCTCTCCAGGATGACAATGCCTCTCAAAAAGATGATGGCAACACCACTGATGATCATGAGGGTGATGTTAACATGGATGAAGCCTCGGACAAGGATGATGGCAATGCCATAGAAGAAGAAGAGAAAGAAGATGACAGCGGCAAGAGCCCTGAGAAAGAAAAAGATAGGGGTAAAAGCCCTGAGAAAGATGAAGGCAGTGGATCAAAGCCCTCCAAAGACCCTGATAGTCTCTCTGAATTTGAGATTGGAGATTCCTTTATGGATTTAGACGATGATGATCATTACATGATTAAGACTGAAGAGGAGCTTGAGGCTATACTCGCTCATGGCAAGCGCATCACCAAAGGAATGCTTGGCAGGGGTAATCCCGTAGCCGTGTCCTTAGCATACTGTAGACAAGAAGTTGCTCGATGCGAAGATGAGATTGAAGAAGGTATCACTACTCTCACGCTTGCCGAAGTAGAACAAATCAACAAGGAAAAAGAAGACTTTGAAAGAAGAATAGACATTCTGATGAAAAGCAGCAAGAAAGCATCCTCTGATGCGGAGAAGGCAAAGACGCCATCTCTTGGTTCCATCGTTAAGAATGTCACCGCTTTTCTCGCTGGTATGCCTCCCTTGCAAGTAAAAGGTGATGGTCAAGCGAAGCACAAAACCAAGATGCCTAAATTTACCACCATTGATTTATTCTATGATGAATTTGAGATGTATTTGGAGTGCCATGATGTCCCTGTGGAAGACCATTGGGAAGTATGCATCAAGTAATGCTTGTGCACCCGATCGCAAAAATTGGCTCAAACAGATTATCGATGTGAATAACGTTGAAACTTATGAGCAGCTCAAGGAAGTGCTTTTGCCTTTCTATACCAGTGAGTACGAAGAACTCTATCACTTGTTGCACATTAGATACCTGACGCAGAAGAAATTGCAATTGGATTTGCGCAACTTTGCCATCCATTTACAGCAATACGCTAGACAGCACCACATTGACGACGACAAGACGTTGTTGCTTGACTTCCTTAGAAACATTGAGGTTAAGTACCGTAAGGCATGCTGGGATGCTGTCATGGACCATCGCAAAAAGCACAAGATGTGGCCCAACATGTTGGATATGATTTGTCATGCTAGCGAGATTCAAGATGCCCTTCGTATGTCAAAGACCACAGACCGTAGCAAATCGTGGAACTCTCTTGGGGAATACCCTCATGGAAGCGACGATGAAGATGAAGCTCAGGCCACGGATGAAGAATCTGAAGTCGAAAGAGCACCCTCCAAGAAACGCAAACGTACAAGACGTTCTCAAAAACCCAAGAAGACTACTCCTAGTGGCCAAAAGCCTAAGGATAAGCAAGACAATCATACTTGCAAACTACATGGAGCGGTTGGTCATTCCACGGATGATTGTATTACGATCAAGAAGGCCAAGAAGCGTTTTGAGAATCCTTGTCATTTTTGCTATGCTGATGAGTATGTAAAGGGTAAACACTTTTGCACTCAAATGGCCAAGCACAATGAGGAGAAAGACGCTGAACGCAACCAGTACCAAGCCAAATTCATCCAACTCAAGCGTCAAAACCTTTTGCGCAGTATCGATGACCACGAGCTCATGAACACACCTTCCAAGAATGATAAAAAGCAATGTAAGAAAGAAACTATATATGTCAGAGGTTTGGCAAAAGAAAATGCTGACCAGTCCATCTTATTGCCTATTGTTGTGCAGGATATAGAAACTATGGCTCTCTTAGACACTGGCTGTAGTCACTCGCTTGTCGATAAAGCATTCGCTAAAGCAAATAAATTTCACATTACTCCCACAACAGGCTCATTCACTTTAGCCGTTGATGGTATGACTGCACAAAGAACTGGTTCCATCCAAAACGTGAAGGTCACTTATGGCGATCGAAAGTTTGAGCATACATTTGAGCTTATTGATCTGCCTGATCCAAAGGTGCCGATCTATGCAGGCATGGATATTCTTTCAAAGATGGGTATCGGCATCACTGGTTTGAATAGTGCGTGGCCAAGCATCATCGCTCCTAGCGAGGTCGATAGTACTGTTGTTGATCCACAGAAAGAAGAGCCCAACAACTCCCCTGCTGGCACGGACGCCGAAAGAAAAATTTTCTTTGATAGAATTGAACCACTCATCATTAAGAACAAGCAAATTCCGACCACATCGTTTTGCACGCTGCCTGAATCGGTAGTGAGACTGGATACCGGGGATGCACCACCTGTGCATAAACGGCAATACCCCATTGCTGTTGCTATGCAACCCATTTTACAAGAAACCATAGATCGTTGGCTACACGATGGTACCATCGAAGAAGCCCCTGCAGACTCCAAATGGAATTCGCCATTGACCTTCGCTCCCAAGAAGGATGCATATGGCAAGTATACTGGCAAACGTCCTTGCCTTGATCCAAGAGGCATCAATAACTTGATTCAAGATGATACACATCCTTTGCCTTTGATATGTGACATTTTCAATAGCTTAGATGGAGCACAAGTCTTTACCACTCTCGACTTAAAAAGTGCCTTCCACAGATTTGAGATTCACCCCGATGATCGGCACAAGACCACCTTTACAGTGGGTCGACAACGCTACATGTTTCGAGGTTGTCCTTTTGGTTTAAAACCTATCTCATCAAAATTTCAGAGGGTTATGGATATCATTTTCAAGCCCATGGAAGCCTTCGTTTTGTGTTTCGTTGACGACATCGTGATCTTCTCTAAGAATATGGAACACCATGTTGAACACGTTGCACGTGCTATTCAAGCACTCACAAAGGTGAATCTTATTCTGAACGCTGAGAAGTGTCATTTTGCACAGCAATCTGTGTACCTTTTGGGCTTTTGTGTTTCTGCTGCAGGACGTTCACTTGATCCTCGCAAGCTCACAAACATCCAGAATTGGCCCATTCCTCAAACGGGCAAAGATATACAACGTTTCCTTGGAGTCATCAATTACTTCAGAGAGCACATACCCAATGTATCCACCATAACCGCACCACTCGATGAGTTGCGTAATCAAGATAAACTTCATTCTTTGTGGACTGACTGCCATACGGATGCGTTTAATGCATTGCAAAACATCTTGACAAGCACGCCTATATTGCGTTATCCTAATTTGGATCACCCTTTCTCGGTTGCCACGGATGCATCGAACGTGGGTATTGGTGCAGTGCTATACCAAGTCATTGATGGTGAGACGCGCCATATTTCTTTCATGGCACGCTCCTTATCTAAATCTCAGCGCAACTATTCTACAACCAAACGTGAACTCCTTGCAGTGGTATACGCCTTAGAGAAATTCCATACATATTTATGGGGCAACAAATTTACCCTCTACACCGATCATCGTGCCCTTACATATTTGCACACGCAACGTGTTGCTAATTCCATGATGGTTGGATGGCTTGATTCTATTCTCTCATACAACTTTGAGGTTGTGCACTTGCACGGCTTAGACAATATCTTACCAGATCAACTTTCTCGCCTTTTTCCTACGGCAAAAGAGCTGGAGGGGGGCAATGACGGTGATATTGCTATCCGTGCTGTAGATGCCAATCAAAGCACAAGCCAAGAGGTAGACCTCGATCAGATGTTTGAACCTCCAGAAGAAGAAAGAAAGCAATTGCTCATCCAATACCACCTCTTTGGTCATTTTGGTGCAAAAGCAATTGTCAAAGCATTACACGCGGATGGTATTAACTGGAACAATATATACAGTGATGCCAATGAGGTTGTCAAACGATGCAATGAATGCCAAATGTTTAATGTTGCAAAGAAAGGCTATCATCCACTACGCCCTATACACTCTTTCTACCAGCTGACCATTGGGCAATCGACTTGGCAGGCCCATTCAGACCGACTCATGATAACAACACCTACCTGCTAGTCATGGTTGACATATGCACCAGATATTGTGTGCTGCGACCTATTCCCAACAAGCAATCAGACACCATTGTGAAAGCTTTGATCCAGGTCTTTGGTGACTATGGATTCCCCAGATACTTACAATCCGATAATGGCACCGAATTTGTCAATCAGCTTGTTAAAAAGCTATCAGAGGCAACTGGTTTCGATCATAGATTGGTAACGCCGTATCATCCAAGAGCTAACGGTGTAGCCGAGCGCTGGGTACAGACATCAGTGAAAACCTTGAGGAAACTCATAAAAGGTGCTGTCAAGGATTGGGACATGTTCGTTCCAGCCATGCAACTATCCATAAATGCAAAGTTCTCTGAGAGGCACGAGTCAGCACCATATACACTGATGTTCGCAAGAAAGATGAATACCTTCGATGATTATCGAAGCGAAGAGGATTTCAGACCGATGACCAATGAAGAATTGCAAGATAGATTGGATACAATGGAAAAAGTCGTATTCCCTGCAATCAACAAGAAAGTGTTAGCAGTGCTTGATGCTCAAAAGAAGAGCTTTGATAAGAAGCACGTTCTCGTTGATTTTCCAGTGAACAGCGAAGTTGTCATTGTCGTACCAAAAGCTGAAAGATCCAAGCTTGATACACCACATGATGGCCCGTTTCGAGTTGCTATGAAGACTAAAGGTGGATCCTATGAGCTGATGGATAGTAAAGGTAACATCCTTGAACGCAACTATGCACCATCACAACTCAAGCTCATCTCCCAAGACTATGACTTACCATGTGATGACATGTACACCGTGGATCGCATTATGGAGCACAAGAAGGTCCCTCCTGGTACGTACATATATCGTGTTCGTTGGTAAGGCTGTGACGCTGACGATGACACGTGGGAACCAGAATCGTCGTTCACCAATGTACAGAGCATTCACGATTACTGGAAGAGCATTGAGCAGGAACCTGAACAGAAGTTGAAAGAAAAGGGTACGAACAAAACAAAGAAAACCAAGAGGGGTAACAAACGTCCTCAAAGCCAAAATAGCGTGGCTGGTCAAAATCAATCTCGGAAGCGGAAGCAACAGCCTCCGATGCCATCCATGCGCAAATCTCCACGATTCCAATAAAGCATTCCACACATGCCCTTTTCACACGATGGTATCATGAACCTGGAGGGGGGCAATGTTGTATATAAGATATCGGTCATGATACAATCATAAATACAGAGCATGCACCTATATAGAATCATCATGGTTACCTATAAGTTTGATCACCGTAATGGGATCAATCCATCTAACTCAGCCACAACGCCATTGGAGGAAAATCTTATATGAGTCAGCAGCAATAGTAAATAAAGGCACAGCTAGACACGTAGGCAGGTTCTCTCTCGGACGAAGAGTATACTGCATTCTCACAGACTCGTTCTTGTTATCAGTATTTCCCTTTTATTACTATCCCATACACCACACAGCTGCATTACAATATACAACGATGCAAACATTAGTATTGCGTGAATACTCACAGATAGCCATGGTTTTCAGATATCAAATTACCTTTCCGAAATTCATGCACTATCTCTTTTGGTGGAAGCTTTTGAAGATGGTCATTTCGAGTATGGGAACTACTTGCTTGTCTCGTATGACGCACACTGGTCGAGGAACCGGGAAAAGAGTATTTGGTGATCGTTGTTATCGAGGTAGTTGTGTAGACAAGTCTATGCCGTTTTTTGTTCGGCTATGGAGCAACTGAGTAGAAGCAACACTGCCTCATGAACAATACATGTACATATAGAAGCATCACATACATTTTCATGCACTGACTCATTTGAACCTAGCATTTTGTTATTGGTAGCAGTTGTAAAACAGGTGTTCAATATACTATCGATATTGCATTTGCATAATCTATGAAACTTACCAGCAAACGCTTCTGTAGGCAAAAACTGAATTTTGTGGCCAAGTTTAGCGGCAATTAAATTACCTGGCAGGTCAAAGTGGCGAAGTGCCCCAGCTTACGCTGCTCCACCCGCTTTCTTTTACACCATTCAACCCATGTTGCGCACAAGTACATTCCTCCCAGCAATGGCAACCAACAGCATGCTTTAGATGAGCTACTCAAGGCGTACATGTCAAGGGATCCGTCATCCGAAAGGTAGATGTACAAAGAAAGCCCCATTCTATAGATTGACGTGTCTTTTTCTTTTGCGATGCACGAATCCCTGTACAATCGGTAACCTGGCAACTAGAAGCAACCCATATACGACTCCAAGCACATTGAGGATATCTTTCAAGCTATTGGAAAGACTTGAAACTGGTGGCTCGTCATCCTGCATCAGCTATGGAAGGTGGTGTTTTCTTTTCACTTTGGCAAACTATATGCTTGGTGTCTTTTTATTGCTGTAACTCCGGTCTTCGAGGTATGCAAAGGAGCGAATGTATATATAGCTTTATGTTAAGTTTAGCTGTTTGAAGAAGGATGGTATGGTAATTGTAAGGTATGAGAATAAAAGCAGAAGGATGTTTTGGCCCTACAGGGTGGTATCATGGTTGTATTCCCTTGTATAAATGATTCCTTTTCTTTATTACTCGTGCTCGTGCGAAGGGAATGGAAGAAGAGTATTGATAAAAAGTGCTGGATAACACGGGTATTGTGGTAGTAGTAGTAATATAGTAAGATACTGCTAAAGTGTAATTATCATAGCCGACAATAAAACATGGTTGCACGATTCGAGTTACATCTTTGCAAAGTTTTCCTGAGCACAACAGAAATTACCCCATCACGAAGTCCAAACCTCATTGTAAGATCGATGCCAATGGCGAACCGGAATTGTTGACATGTAGGAAAAAAAAGGGGATCATGAACAAGATCGTGAAGGCTAAACAAAAGAAGTAGCTCAAATATGTCCAACCTTATCTTGAACGCCGTCAACCTCATCCGTAACCAAGCTACCGGCGTTGTTAGCGATTACAGTGAAAGCGACGTGTATACGTGCACCATGGCTGCCAAAGATTTTTATGCATGGTTTGTGCATGAAGAACACCGAACTTCATGCACGTTCTATTATCGATCCAGCGGTAACGCGCTCAAGAAAAACAGAGACTCCTTTCGTGCACATGGTGCATTTCAACCAGCCAATGAGCGTTATCGCCCTGGTTTTGCCTTGTCACCTAAGGCAGGCTCTGAATTCGAAACAATCCGTGTAGCCACTGGTGTCAAGAGAGGCCCCACACCAACTACCAATTACAATGGGGTAAAATGCAATCTATGTGATATACCTCGTAGTCTAATGATGTTATTGTAATGATTCATATTGCTAGATTTTCGTGTGTAGCCGCAATGGGGATCCAACCGGTGAAAAAAACCTACCATGTAACTGCCCTGTCACTATCAAGGCCAAATGTTTGGAGGCAACACCTGGTGTGGTCCATATTGAATATCGGTGGAAACACGAGAACCACATCTCGCAAGAAAGAAAAAATATCCCTGAATTGAATCATAGTGCCTGCCAGTGCACTGCTTGATAGGTGTGAAAAGTATACGTTAAGTGATGCACTCGATTGCACTCCATATCAAAGCAGCACATGAGCAGTGCAAGGTAGTGCTAGCCTCTATATAAGTAATGCAAGGCAATGATAGGCAATGATGGGCAGTGCTAGGCTCTATATACAAGTGCAAGGCAATGGTAGGTAGTGCTAGGAAGTGCTATTCTCTCTATTAGTAATGCTAGGAAGTGATAGGCAATGCTAGCCTCTATATTAGCAATGCAAGGCAATGATAGGCAGTGCTATTCTCTATATACAAGCCGCAAGGCAATGGTAGGTAGTTCTAGGCAGTGCTATTCTCTCTATTAGTAATACTAGGAAGTGATAGGCAATGCTATTCTCTATATTAGCAATGCAAGGCAGTGATAGGCAATGCTATTCTTTCTACTAGTAATACTAAGCAGTGATAGACAATGCTATTCTCTCTATTATTAATGCTAGGCAGTGCTAGGGAATGCTATTCTCTCTATTAGTAATGCAAGGCAATGATAGGCGATGCTAATCTCTATATTAGCAATGCAAGGCAGTGCTATACAGTGCTCTACAGTGCCCTACGGTGGCATACGGTGCTATGCTCTAAGCTAGTGGTGCAAGGCAGATAACATTGAAAGCCCCCATCACCATAATAGCTCAATAGTGCCCCACATGACGGCTTACAAGAGTCATGTTTTATTAGCGAAACGTGGACGTGCCCCACTCAATGATACATAAACGTTTAATCTCCATTGTCGTCTGATGACACGTATTCTCCATCCCGTAATGTTGCTTGATATAACAATTTTGAATCGGGTGGACCATTACCGGTTTGGCCGGATAGCTTGTTAACAATCGCTGTTTGCATTCGTTGAACGGCTTGATGATCGATACTTTCATCATCACTTCCTTTCCCTAGCATCGTGCGCTTGTATAGCCATGCCCAATAGCCACCCTGTCGTCTGAACTCATCCCGCATCGAGGGATCTGGGACCTTGAATTTGTATGCCTGAACCAATCGATACAGCGTCTATTGTTTTCTAATCTTAATGATGGATCGTACTCATAGCAGCACTAAAGGATACATACCAAGCAATAGGTCAAAGCGATCATATTCATTGATACTATATCACAGTCTCCTTGTAGCCTACACGCACCCGTCTTTGTGTTGTAAAACACAGTATGGATGAGTTCACCGAGGGCCTCATTTTGCAATAATTCACCATTTGAACGAAAACCAGTCCTTGCAAATCTGTTTTCCTTAGCTTAAGAACATACATCTATTCATTTCAACGTACCTAGCTCCATCGACGAGATAACGATATTGCTGTTTAGATCGCTCCTGCAAGGTGGCGGCATATTCGTACGATCAAATTCGTATGACAACAATACTCTGCTCATGCTGGATTGCAAAGAGGAACGCGTGTTGTTGATGGTATCCACAAACTAGTATCAATCAGATCTAGCCCCGTGTTCAGAGATTTTGGTGCATACTTACTATCTTTTTACTCTCCTTGGAGACTATCAACCTTTTTTTGTCATTATCTTCCCACCTTTTGATAACTCTGCATAGCCTTTCACATTCTGTATCACATTCCGCGTTTGTTGGGAACGCATTTTCACGGTATAAAAACTGACGAGCGCCCTCCTTCAAGTTGTTGATGTCGCTCTTTTTCTCTGTAATACAGAAATAGTGTCGGCCATCATCGACATCTTTTACTTGTAGCTGCTGTCGTGGCTCCTTAGCTCCGTTTTCAACTTGATCAATGCTATTTAAGATGGTTAAACCTTGGCGAAATTACAGTATGGTTTCATTTCACGTATAAAACAATCAAGGTTCATGCTTTACATACCTCTCCCTTTCACTCGTATCACTTATTGAGTCACTGTTGTCTTCTGCTGCTGATGTACAAGCTTGAGACGGTGGGGGCGTTCGTAACGGATGAGAATTTTCGCTGTCATTATCATGGTTGCTACAATCAGCAAGAACTGGACGCCTGCCAGGGACATCACGTGCATTCCGTTTTTTATTCTTTGCAGCTTCAGTCGAAGCTAACTCGGTGCAATGAATAAGCATGTATTCAGAACGCCTTTCTTTTTCATTAACCTTGTTGGTTGTGTCGTTTGCTTGACATATCGAGTGAGGGGGTGTAAGTGCGTGTGGGAAGAAAAGAGTAAAAACGACCCGCAGCACCCAAAAGGATGTTTCTACTTCACACGAGAAAATATTGACACGGGTCTATCCTTCTCTTTCCTCCCTTCTTTCTTTTAAAACAAACGTAGCTATTATAAAAAAGCTATTCACTTCTTTACCATGACCAAGGAACATAAAAAAGGTACCATCGCATAGCATACTACAAAGGATGGCAATCCCTTGAGCGATTCCTTGATGCAGATTCACGTGATCGGAACTCCAATGTGACCAACGGCATTCCAAACAAACGTAAAAGGGCATCTATTCACAAGGGTGAAGGAAGCGATGATCGTACACAACCCCCGAGAGGCACATTATCTTCATTGGAACGTAAAGCAGCTTCTGTCGCATTTGATCTAATCTTTCAGGTGCTGAGTATACAAGGTGCATTTTCTCCTTATGAATACTACATTGTTTGTTTAACTCTTTACATGATTCAGGGTTGTGGAGCTGGTTCAAGATGCGTTTGACGAAGGGAAAGGATCTCGCGGCGACACTGCATTGTCCGTGAATACGTTAAAAAAGATCAAGACTAGGCTACAACAGGACGCTGATCCATGCTCGATAGTGGTTCGTGAATATTATTACCTTACTTGGCTATGATGCTATGTCCCTTGATTCACCTGATTACACAGCCTTTCACGCACAATAGCATTGACGTCTCCCAAGCGCCTGATTTTCCTACAAGTCACATTCGTGAATTCAATGATACTGTTGGCCCTTTGACCCTCGTATATCGAAATATTCGTGATTTGTGCGAGCTTCTATTCTCTCATCCTGCATTCGCAGAGACTATGATTTTGAAACCGAAAGTATATATGAAAAGTGGACGCCGGGTTTATAAAGGACTTGATTCCGGGAGATGGTGGGAGAAACTTCAGGTATGTATGGTATCGTTGATGAAAAGTAATGTTCTTAAGCAATTGTATACATCTCAGGAGCAGCTTCCAGGCTACGTGATTTTATGCATTATGCTTGCATCAGACCAAACATTGATTACCGGTAACATGCGCGACAAAGCTTGGCCAATCTACTTGAAATTGGGTAGGTGGTCGTGTATTCGACACTTCTATATTTGCAACAGCCATCCAATTCACATGATAAGGATAGGGAATATGCCTGCTGATATCCGTGAAAAGAGCACAAACCGACCAAGTCGTGTATTAGCATACCTTCCATGTATCGATTGGCCAGGGACACCTCCATATTGGTTTATCAAAGCCAAGTATGCCACAATCCATTATTGCATCTCGCTTATACTAAAGCCATTTCAATACGACGATGACCACATGTAAGGATTATAATTTTGTTTTTGTTGTACATTCGAATGACCATACTATTGAAGGATAAAATCGTATTCCATGAAAGGACCGAATGGGTGCAAGTACAAGTGTGTTCCGGCTCTTGCGACATACATCGCCGATTTACCTGAGCAGTGAGTAGATGGCATGCACAATTTCTATCACCTAATTGCTAAATGCCTTAACATAAATAGGAGGATGCTTACCTGTATTAAGAGTGCAAGTACCAAATCCTCATGCCCGAGATGCGAGATCCCCACAACCGAATTTCACCTCTATCACCAAACACTACCTATACGTACCGAGATGAATATGATAAAACTACACAAGAAAGTCATTAGCATGAGGTCTGTCGTACGAAGAGACAAAGAAGAGAAAAGACATTCATTCCATGCTATACAGGTAATACAGCCACAACTCAACAATTTTGTACATAGATTAACACGTACATCCTCGTAGAACGTTTTTTGGAACGTTCCTCTTTTTGATATATATACATCGCTTACAGTGGATGATCTTCATCAACTAGGGGGTGTTTATAAGCATTTACTTAAGTGTTTGGAATCATTCCTCAACGAAGAGGCTGACGGCAAGACCAAGATCAAAATGATCAATGCAAGGTATTTTGAATAAGAACAGCGAGCAATGAATAGCTGCTAACTATGTTTCGAAAGATCCAAGATATTGCCACAATATAGTAATTTGAAACGATTCAACAATGGGTTCCTGCTTAGCTTTCTCAAGAATCCAACATTCAATGAGCTGTGTGCTCATATGGCGGTATAGTAGCTGAATGCAATAACCTACGCCTCAATTATTAACAGCATAGATAGGTTGTCATGTGCCTGATTCACGATTTGATACCTCTTCAAATGGCCCTTACTTTTCGTTATTTCATTGACTTCTTTCAACAAGCGACCGCCAAGGAACATACAGAGGATTCACTTGCGGCGATGTCACGATCTTTAAAGAATTATTACAAATACAGTGCGATTATGGAACAATTCTCTGCTGTAAGTGGTCGACATTAGGGTTATTAAGGTACCAAAAAGCATGTTTTAACGTTGAATACTGTATCTGTTTATATATTTCAGAGTGGGATGAGCTTTCCAAAGAATCATGCTCTACTCAAATATGCTGGTGACATCCGACAATTTGGCACCATATCCAGTTTCAGCACTACCCATTCTGAAAGACAGCACAAACGTGATTCCAAGGATCCTGCGAAGCATGTGAATCGCGCTAATTGTAATGCTACAAAGCAGGTATGAAAGTGAACGTTTCAGCAATCCACATCTAACATGTTTTTGCTGTCAGATGAGCGATTACGTATTCCATCGCGATTTGTTGGATGATACTTACTATAATGAAGATTCGCATATACCAGACAATACTTGTCCACCAAAGTCTCTTTATACGCTATGCTCAAAGGTATCTTCAGCACCTGTCACCATCATGAAGCTTACCAAAACAAGGCCTGACTGCCATGACCTTGACGCTCTCATCAAAGTATACATTGAAGAACAATTTAAACAGCAGCCTGCAAGCGAAAGAGAAAGTGCATGGGTCTATGATTGCACGAAGGTATACATGACATGTTCTGATCAATGACTCGCAAGATGTTAACGAGCTTAACAGGTTTATGCATACCAGCAATTGATGGTTGTAGAGGATGATGAGGATGATGGATATCGCAAGTCCTTTATACGAGCACACCCTTCTTTTTTTAAAAATGCGCGATTCGATTACGTTGCATTGAAGGATAATGGTGTTGGGCAAGCATTGTTGTTCTTAGAGATAACGCTTTGTGGAAGGGACGAGACACTACAGCTATGTCTATTGAGAAGATTCACATCGATGCCTGGTCGTCATGCTAGTGGATTACAAACGTTGCATGTAGAGGATGATTTGAAGATTGTTTCGCTTGACCTAATTCTACGTCCTATACACGTTGTTCCCGAGTTTTCAACCATGTATACGGCAGCCGATGGATCTAAGCTCTATCACCAATATCTCCTTAATCATGATGTGAATCGATACGAATGGTCTCGCGGAGTAAACAATCGTTTACACATCCAAAAAGGCGATCGTGTCAGCTGGGAAATCAAAGGTGCTAAGAGGATCCCGCCAGTGTATAAGCAATACGACAGCGATGGAAATAATCAAGAACACGGCAATATGAAGTATAAGGGATATAAAGATGAAGAAGAGGATCATGAATACATACCGTAATAAGATTACTACTTATTAAAGCATGCATAGCTAGCATTGATGGCAACATTTCCATTCATTCTTCATTGCACATTGCGTTATTATATAGGGCCTAGCACTGCCCGATCATTGCCTTGCGCTTGTATATAGGGCCTAGCACTACCTCGCATTGCCGATCAATTTTACTATAGAACCTAGCACTCCATATCACTACCTTGCATTACACTATAGAGCCTAGCACTGCCTAGCACTCCATATCACTACCTTGCATTACACTATAGAGCCTAGCGCTGCCTATCACTCCATATCACTACCTTGCATTACACTATAGAGCCTAGCGCTGCCTATCACTCCATATCACTACCTTGCATTACACTATAGAGCCTAGCGCTGCCTAGCACTCCATATCACTACCTTGCATTACACTATAGAGCCTAGCACTGCCTATCATTGCCTTGCAACGGTATATAGAGCCTAGCACTGCCTATCATTGCATTGCAATTGTATATAGAGCCTAGCACTACTTTGCACTGCCGAGCAGTTTTACTGTAGGCGCCTAGCATTGGATGGAACAACAGTGCAACGTGACGAATTCCTTGCACTTAAGTGCGAGGTATTGCCTTTTTATTACGTTCGAGTGCTTTGCGATGGCATTTTTTCTTTCTTGCGAGATGCATGTACCAGGATCACTCAAGGACCTTCAATTAGCCCCTATTAGTCGCCATGCACGAGAAACGATTCATAAAATGGTTGACCAAAATATGAATTGGGCAAGCATCAACAATGTGTTGCGTATTGATAAGAAATCGCTCAAAAGCCTTATGGAAGGAAATAGTACCACTGGTGTCCCTATGATTTTGCGTATTGGCTACGATCACGTATTTTATGCCATGCGTAAATCCATCAAGAGTCGTGCCCGATTCAATGACCAGCTTGAATCCAGCTTCGAGAAGTGGACTGAGAAAATCGCCAATGAGGATGGGCACTCGAAATATCTAACTATGGATGAGGATCAAGTGTCGTATTCTAGAGTCTGGGTTTGATAGGTAAAACCTAACCCAACCCAGATGACCCCTGTCAATGTTTATTTAGGAGCACAGACAGCACAAATAAAGATCTTTCTCCCTTTTTCGAGTCTCAAAGGATTTATCCTTGTTATCATTGCTATCAGCTTTATCACTGCTATCACATCAAATTCCACATTTTTTCCTTTGAATACTCTTCAACAACATCATCAACACCAACATGTCTGCTTCTGCTGCTTCCTCTCCTGCTGCCTCTCCTGCTGCTTCGCCTGCTGCAACTGCCAACAACAACAACCACATGGGCGACAACAATGAAACCCCTGTCAACACTCCCACCAACAACAACAATGGCCCTGCCCCCATGGAGGGTATTGAACCCACTGGTGCTTTGGCCTCCAAGTACGTGGACGCCCTTGCTCTCTCTCGACAATCGCTCAAGAAAAAAGAGAAGGAGTTGGAGAGCTTGATCATCAAGCAAATCCAACTTGAGACCATGGAACCAGTTCCCGAGGACGAGTTGGCAACAATTGTGAAGCGAATGGAGGCTTTGCACAAGGAGATTGAGAGGACTAGAAAGAACATTGCTATCCTCACTCCTAAGGATGCTGACACCACCACCAGCTCTCGTAAGCACATTACGATGAATCTTGTTCCACGTTTTGTGATCAAAGGAGTCAACGAGTCTCCTGAGGACAAGCATGTCTTTCCCAATGTTGATGCTTTTTTGCTCAGCATGAAGAAGCTGTTTCGTTCCCACAAATACAATTTGGACACTGAGTGGGATGAGGTGTTGCATTGTGCTTTCCCAGCCGATCTTGAAAAATGGTATGCTGACACTTTAAGCGGTAAGAAACTCAATTGGAATGATGTTTGCCAGAGAGTTCGTGCACGTTTTGTGTCGCGTGACAACAAGGCACGCAAAGCAATGGAGGTGTTCAAGTGCGCTATGCGCGATGGCGAGACAACCCAACGTTACGGTACTCGTTACCAAAACTTGGTGATTGATGCCGGCTTGACCAATTGCGATGTGTTGGCCATGTTGTTCCTTTTATCTTTGCCTGAGGATGTACAAGAAAGGGTGCTCATGTCGTTTTATGCTCGTCCTGGTAATGAGGATCGCTTGCCTGACAACCTTGAAGAGGTTATTAAGCTTGCTGATTCCATTACAATTACGAAGAAACGCACGCACAAAGACTCTGGTTCCAGTTTCTCGCATCATAAGAAGCATAAAGCTTCGAAGCAGGCTGGCAAGGACGGGTCTATTTATTGTATCCATTGCGATGACGAAGGTGACCACGTCTCTGAGAGGTGTGACAAGTTGAAGAAGCCAATTGTAGGTGCGAAATGGCATTATGCACATCATTCCCACAAGCCCGATCACTCTTGCCATGCTTCAAAAGTGGAGAAGGCCAAACTTCGTGCTGAGGGCAAGATGCCACCACCAAGGCGCCACAATTCTCGCCGTAACGAGAACAACGTGCAGGTAAATACCATGGTGCATGATTCAAATGACATGGATTTATCTGACGACTTCGTTCATCGGGCTGATTCAGCAATCAACAACAATGACTCCTTCTCACCCATCCCATTGAATGAATTACAAGATGTGGATGAAATGCTCGCAAGGCAATCGTTAGGTAAGTTGTTGTTTGCTGCGCAATTGAATGACAATCCATATCTCATGAAAACACCCATCTTGGTACAGAATAAGCTACTCGTCGGCCTTGTCGATACTGGCGCAGAAAATTCTGTTATCAATAAAACATTGTGTGATGCCAACAATTGGTCGTATACACCTGTGGATGGGAAGATCATGTATGCTGGTAGGAATGATGTTGTCAAGCGTATGGGCATTACAGAGCCTCTTCAGCTACAATACAACAACCGGCAATTTACACATCGATTTGAAGTTATGGATTTGGAACAATACAATCTTATTTTGGGCTTTGATATCCTTCCTAAATTGGGTATCTCTTTGCAAGGTGTAGCTGTCAAATGGGATGATCAGCAAGATGACGTGCAAGATCCTTCGGTGCACGATGCATACAAAAAGCTGGTTCCCAATGCTTCGCCTTTTGGCACACTGATGAGCAAGCTCAATTCACACAGGCTATAAAGCCACTATTGGATGCTAACACGCGTATTCCTAAATGGTCGTTCTGCAACATACCTGAGTCTATTATTCACTTGGATCTTACGCAGCAAGGTGTCACATCCTATCAACGACAATATACTTTGCCATATGCTTTACGTCCTGAGATCGATGCTACGATTCAAAAGTGGCTCGATGATGGTGTCATTGTGAGAGCTCGTATCAATTCCTCATGGAACAGCCCATTGACATTAGCTGACAAGAAGGACTCACATGGTAATAAAGTGGGTAAGCGTCTTTGTTTGGACCCACGACACATCAATCGTTATTTGAAGGATGATCGTTATCCGATTCCTACTATTAAGGAGATCTTCAATGACTTGGGTGGAGCGAAAGTTTTTACCACGCTTGATCTTACCAGTGCTTTTCATCGGTTTAAGATTGCAGAGGCTGACCGTCACATCACCACTTTTACGCACAAGGGACAACAATTTATGTTCCGTGGATGCCCATTCGGTTTGAAGCCCATCTCCTCCAAGTTTCAACGAGTCATGCATATTGTTTTTAACGACATGCCTTTTGTACGCACGTTTGTGGATGACATTATTGTCTTTTCCAAAGATTTGTTTTCCCACACCAAACACGTGCAATACGCGATCAAGGCTCTTACGCAAGCCAACCTCATTTTGAACCCGGCAAAGTGTCATTTTGCACAACAGTCGGTGTATCTACTTGGTTTTTGTGTCTCCGAGCATGGTATATCTCTTGATCCAAGAAAGGTAGTAAATGCTATTGATTGGCCCCAACCTCGTACTGGTAAGGATATCCAGCGGTTCATGGGCTTTGTGAATTACTTCAGTGACCATATTCCTCATATGGCCGAGATCTCTGCACCACTCAACAGGGTACGCAATGCCGGTTTACTTAAGGATTTGTGGACTGAGGAGCAAACGAAAGCATTGAATGCTCTTAAGCAAGCCTTAGCAAAGAATGTACTTTTACATTTCCCTGACTTTGATCAACCCTTTTATGTGGCCACGGATGCATCGAATTATGGCATTGGTGCTGTGTTGTTTCAAAAGATAAAGGGCAAGAATTGCTATGTCTCTTTTATGGCACGTGCTTTGAACCCCAGTGAGCGTAAATACTCCACCACTAAACGTGAACTCTTGGGTATGGTATACGCCCTTCAAAAGTTCCATCCTTTTCTTTGGCTACGCCCATTCACACTTTATACGGACCACAAGGCTCTCACTTATTTGTTCACCCAAAAGCTTGCAAATCCCATGATGCTCAATTGGTTTGATATCTTGTTGAAATACACTTTCGACGTGATCCATGTACCGGGTATTGAGAACGTGTTGCCAGATGATCTCTCACGTTTGTTCACTCCCGATGAACTCTTGGAGGGGGATAATCAACCATCAAATGCAATCAAAATGGGTACGATAAAATCGAGCAAAGATAGACTTGTATTTCAAATACGAGTAATTGACAAACAGCCTAGCGATGTGGTCACTCCACCGGATGATCAACGGATGGATGAGCTTGAACGTGCACACTTGATTATTGGTCATGGAGGTGGTGAACATTTAGTACGTTACTTACGACGTGGTGGCTTGGCATGGACCAACATGCTACAAGATGCAGTAAAGTTGGTAAGCAAATGTCCACAATGCCAGAAGACCAACATAGCCAAGCGAGGTTACAATCCTCTACGTCCCATATACGCATACTTGCCTGGTGACCATTGGGCTATTGACTTGGCAACCTTCAATCGTTCCTCGTTAACTGGTAACAACTTCTTGATGGTACTGGTTGACGTATGCACACGCTTTTGTATCCTACGTGCGTTACCTGACAAATCCTCGGATACGCTGGTCAAAGCTCTTGTGCAAATCTTTTGTGATTTTGGCATACCCCGTATTCTCCAATCTGATAATGGTGGCGAGTTCAAGAACGCACTCATGAGGAAGTTAGCAAGAAGTCTAGGCTTTCATCAGCGTTTTACTACACCTTATCATCCTAGCGCCAACGGCATAGCTGAGAGATGGGTCCAAACTGCACAAGACGTCATTCGCAAGAAGATCGAAGGTGCTGGTAGAGACTGGGACTATTACGTGCCTAGCACACAGCTTGAGTTGAACATGCGAGTATCCAAACGGTTGAATACACCTCCCTTTACGCTTATGTTCGCACGCAACATGAACGAGTTTCGTGATTATCGTGGCGACAAGATCGAGACGGCAAAACCAATGTCGGAAGAAGCGTTGAAGGAAAGGATAGAGCACATGCAAAACATTGTGTTTCCGGCATTGAAGGAGAAAGTGGAAGTTTACAACCAAGCGATGAAAGAGAAATTTGATGCAACTCACAAGATCATTGATTTTCCTGAGAAAAGCCACGTCATGGTAAAAGCAACCCCGTTAAATCCCCTCAATTTTCAACTTTGAGATTCTCAGCCTTTTCCCCCCGCCAGCTTACTTTCTGTTCCCCATTGGTCTTTGCAACTTGCACATCCCGACCGAGTTCAGCCCATCTACAACCTGCGAGCAATTCATCTACTTCTTCTCGTCATGCCAAGCCAGCATTGGAGTTACTTTGTTACGATTCAAGACAATGGCAAGTACATGGGGCTTTGACAGCTGCCTTTCTTTATTTCAGCACACCTTGTTTTCGGCACCACTCACCCTCTTGCACTTTTCTACCATGCCCATTCGCTTCAGAGTCAATTGCAGTAGCCGAGATTAGCTTCGTCAGCAGATCCTCTTCTTGAATCGCCTTGTTGGTTGTGTACAAACGTGGCTTGCAGCCTTCTTTTATATAAGCAACAGCACCTTTATTCACTAGCAGCTTTATTTA